GGGAATTGGAACTGGTGAAACAAGAAGATGGATAGATGCTAGAAAGGTTAAACTTTCTGTGAAATAAAGACTCCCACTAATCAGTCCCAACTCTGAAGTGTGCTGGGAGGATTTAATTTCTATGGCAGCATATCTGTAACTGCACTAGTATCTTATGGCAGCATATACATCTTTGCTAGTACCAGCAGACCATTATGAAAACGACAAAAAAAGAATCAATCAGGAAGGGAGCTGGAGCAAAGAGCAAAACAAAGAGCAAAACATGCTTTATCTAACGTGAAAGAAGCTGCTTGAGAAGCTCCTGCACTAAAATTCACAGTCAAAGGAAAGTTATTCATAATAAGAATTTCAACATCAGCTGATTCTGTGGGAGCAGTACTGTTACAGAAAAATAGTGAAGGAAAATAGATACTAGTACCATATGAATCCTCCCCTCCCCAGGGGCTCGACCAAAATTTCCCTGGCTATGAGAAAGCCTGGTTAGAGGCAGTCTGGGCTATGATGGTTTTTGAGGCTTTCACCCTCAATAGTCCAGTCGTACCCCAGTCTACTCATGCTCTGCTCTTAAGCACAAAGAGAAGAAATGGATATTAATGTGGATATCCTTTTAAAGGAAACCGGTAATAAACCAAAGGTATTGTGCACCCATGGGAGTGCTAAATTTGAACAAGGAGGAAAAATAATCCAGGATACTGCGATTAGTGGAATGAGGGAACACATAGTGGGGAAACTAGAGAAAGGATCATGCCAAGGAGCTTACAGGCTGTCAGTAAAAGACATAAACCCCTCTGGCACAATATCTCTCTACAGATAGCCACTATGCTGATAATAGAATAAAATACTGGATGCATGATAGGGAGAAAGGCGATGGGAAACACATAATGGGACACCCACAAAGAAAACAAGAGGTTTATTTTACAAGCTTAGAAGGAGAGTAGGAATAAAATATATATAAAAGATGTTAAAGTACATGGGAAGACTGAAAGCAATACTAAGAAACAATTTAGTGAGCAAGGAGATAAATTGACTCAGAGTTTGTTTACTGCAGCCCCAACCAGGAATCAGCTAAAAGAGAAGATGGGATGGATACTGTGGTCAGCTGAATGAGAGCAAGCCGTCTTAGACTGTCATAGTAAGTTACATAAAGGAGTACAAGGTACTCTAAAAAGAGTGCAAAGAATTTATATTTGGCCCCAAATGAAGCAAGATATAGAGAACATAAATAAGAACTGCATAAGGTGTGCAATGATGCAAAATTGAACTAGTACAAGAAAGCTGCCAACTCTACTGTACTGGCTAAACCAAGGGCCTTGGCAAATACTGCAAAGGGATCATCCAGATAAACTGTTACACACTAAAGAAGGGTATCGGTATGTCTTTGTCACCGTGAATATCTTTCCAGGATGGGTTGAGGCTCTTCCATCTAAAAGGAATACAACCACTGCAACTGTAAAAATGCTGTTAAAGGAAATTATCCATAGATATGGAACATCAGCTGAGGTAGGATGAGATGGAGGAGGGGGCTTTGTAAGTGAAGTAACTTGAGCCTTAATGAGTAACTTGGGGATGAAGCAAGGACTGCATATACCCTACCACTTCCAATCCTCCAGACTCATCGAAAGAAATGAGTCAGACTATTAAAAATAGAGTAAAGAAAATTGTAGGACAATATTCAAAATGATGGGCTGAAAAGTTAACCTCGATATTAGTAGCTTTAAGAAGCAGTGACAGATTAGGGACTGGTTTACAACCCTACTAGATTTTGTTTGTATAGCCTGTTCCTTGGTGGTCCCATGTCCGAGACCCGAAAATATTATGTCAGGATAAAGAAGAAAACAAGGCTCGCGTAGAAGCAGCAACATGAGAAAAATAGGTAAAATGAGAAAGGAAGAATCCAATTCATACACAGCTTATGAAATAAGGGGCCAAGTAATGTATTTGATATCAGATTAAAAGGAACAAGCCTTAGAGACAAAATGGAAGGGAACCTATTATGTTACTAATAGGATAAGTCCTCTAAGATATTAAATAGACAAGGGCAATGGTAAATACAAATGGGTTCATGTTTCTCAGATGTCCCCCTAAGGGGCCAAATAATTCTGGAATCTGTCATTAATTTGTCAAGAACACAGCCACAGAAAATGCCCCAAAGAGGAACCTCGGGCACCTGTTCAGCCTAAGCTCCCGCACTCACAGCACAACCTCATCTCTCAGAAGCAAGGGGGTGCAGCCTGCGTGGTGTTTACCTCGCACATGGCTGCGGTAGATCTGTTTATATGCTTGCATACTAACGGGGCTGGTTTATGCTTTGAGTTTCCTTATTTTCTATTTTTGTAGGGCAACAGATTTTACTACAGCTCCTTGAACAAGCAACAGCTGACAGAGTCACGGAGCAGCAACGCAAACTCCAAGGCAAGGCAGAGGAGTTGACGGCTCCTGCAGTTGCAAGGATTTTTAACTTCGCTTTTCACTCCATATTAGTATCTTTGGTCTTTTTATAAATTGCATTAATTTTAGAGATTTAACAATGCAGATAGTGACCTTGAAGTCCTTTGGAGAACTAGAGGCGACCACCTTCAGACCTTTATGGGTTTCGAGGCCAGACCAGAAAGCAAATGCCTCCACAGAGACTCCCTGCTTGCTCCTGATCAGGACCCTGGCATCGCTGCAGGGTTTGCAGCATCCTTGCTGCACTCGCAGGCAGTAGCCCAGGAGCTGGAGACTACTAAAGGAGAGAAGGGACAGCAACCTGCAGGCCAGTAACATGGCATTGCTATTGCTAACAAGGCCATAAGCTGTGCATTAACTATACAGGTTTGATTGTTACATCTTGCCTGTTTGGAGCTTTATTTTATTTATTTTAGTCTGTTTTACTGGAGTAACCAATAAGATTTTCATGGCTAGATAGCCAAACTATGACCTAACCTGCCTTAGTCTTGCATAGCTTGCTCCAGCTACTTAATCTAATACTAATAACTTAAGACCCCAAATTAAAAATTGTTACAGCTCTTAAGGGAGCCTTGAGAGTTACAGCTCAAGATCTGGATCTGCCCAGATTGGGAAATCATAGCTGAACCTTTGGAAAAAGTGCTCTAAAATTACAATAACTGAATGAACTCAGCAGTTTTATTCATTTACAGGAAAATCCTCTGAGGAGGAATAACTTGAGGAGAAGCAGCTAGCCCTAGTATTGAACTGCTGATTTCAGTAATGGCCTTTTAAGCAATTTGGGAGGAATTTGGGGGGGGGGGGGGTCAAATAAGAAAAGAAATAGAAAGGAAGGATTGAAGCAGGTGGGAGACTAAGTGCTGTCAGTAGCTAAGTAGTTAAAATTTGAGAGAACTGGGGGTTAAGCATATGTATGTGAAGGTCTGAAATGGGATAAAGTGTAATGGATTGTAAACTATTATGACTGAGCCACAGTAAAAGTAACACTGGAGAGCGATCGTATACATAAGTATTGGAGGATACTTACATCTAATAGCCAAAACTGGACTGCTAAGCCTTGCATTACTTTAAAGAGGAAATTATAAAAATCATATATAGTGGATAAGGATGGTAAAAGCCTATACAAAAATGTTATAACTGACCATGCAAACAACTATGTGTAATTCTCCCCTTCGCTGTCCCCCACAGCTGTTTAGCTGTCTCCACACATCCCAAGCCCAGCTCTGATACTGCACAGCTGCATAACCTTGGGCCAAACTTCTGAGCAAACCGCTAAGTTATGAGACAGCCTGCAAGAAGATAAGGGCAAAAGCAGTGGGAGGAAAACTGAGAGCTTTGGGTCAGATCAAGCCATTAATATCTACAGTGAAAGCTGGACGAAACTAGGTTTGAGCATCCTAACCATATGTTACCTTCCTCAGAAATGGCCAGCAATAGCATTAGTCACACACCTGAGTTACATCAGGTGACACTGATATTGGGATATCTAAGAACAAGATGATGCTGTACCTGTATAATAGACTGGAAAAGTGAAAGCGTGTGAAATCCTCCCAAGGACTGGCAAACTCAAGACACCAGTGGCCCCACTCAGTCTGCAATAACCAATAAACTCAGGACACCAAGAGGCTGCTGAGGCTGCCCAGAGCCACCAGCACACAGGAACATCAATAGCCATGACTGCTGTCTGCTGTGAAGGATGGCAGCGGGGCTCTTGAGCTCCCTGCTGTGGGAGCTTTTAAAAGAGGGCTTGAAGGGGGTGCCCATGCTCTGGTCTGGGGTGGCCAGGGCTTGCTCTGTGGTGCTTGTGCTGGGGAAGATGCAGGTAGATCAGGGCTGCTCTATGCCAGACAGGCAAGTCCTGGCTTAGGTCAGTTTAGCGGTTCA